ACCATTCCTCTCTTGTCACTGAGGCTGCAATGTGACCAACATGGTTCACAGACCTGAGGTTAGTGGCTCTGGTGCTGCGGTGGGTCTTGGGGTTTATGCAATGAGGGGAAAGTTGTATTACTAAGCTGCTTAGCTGGGAGCAGAAAACAGTTGCTGCCAGCCTCTGGAGCAAAGGAAAAGCAAGTGCAGGCACGGAAGTAACGGTGGGTGCAGGAAGTTAGAGAAGCTGGGTGTTTGTCTTCTGTGCACAAGTATTCACTGTGTGGGGTCAAGCTCAGGGCAGGGCATCACAACCTACCCCCAGCCCTTGGTGGTGCCACAGAGACATTCCTAGGTGGGGTGGGGTCTTGGGTTGTTCATACTTTCTCTCCTGCCCCCCAAGAGAAGGTAGGAAGGGGGAGCCCACAGGAGGTCTGCTGGTACCAGTCTGTGCACTTTGACCTCTGTGTGGCTGGCCAGAGTATGTGTGTGTGGTGTGTGTTGTACTTGCTCCCGCTTTCCCAGCTCTTACCCCATGTGCCCCTTGGGGGATTTCACACAGCACAGGGGGTACTCTCAGGGAGCAGGGCTTTCTAGGTCACCTTTGTTTATAGCTCCTTTTAAAACCTGGAGACAAACCACCTATTAATTTATATACCGCTGGGAAGGCAAACCTGTCTTTTAAAAATCCAAAGGAAGCCATTAAAGCAGGTTGGTAACTATTGTAACTCATAATAAGCTCTTCTGTGTAAAAAAATGAGTCAGAATGACTTTCCAGGAAGTTTGGTTACTTTAATTAGCTACCTCTTTTTTCTCGCTCTTTACAACATGCAGTAATTTAAGGATCACCTAAGTATTGATGCTACCAGCCCCGGAGTAAGAAAGATCTAGGGTGCGCAAGTCCCGGACAGCAGAGGCATTCTGAACAGATGTCTCTGGCTCCTAGGATGGAGAAGAAGCTGTGAAAAATCCTTTCCCAAAAGGCACAGCCAGAAAAGCCAGCCCCAGGGCCTGGCTCACTGGTCTGAATGAAGGGGAGTAGCAGGCTCCAGCCACTTTCAGCCCCAGAGCACTCAGCAGTGAAGATGGCCTACTTGGTGTCTCTCACAATCCCACAATCTCATGGCTGCCTGCAGCGGTAGAAACGGGTGTAAATTGTGCTGCTGCAGGCACAGCTGCCACTCAGTATGCTCTCATCCCATATCATAGACTAGTTTGAGTTACAGTTACTCTGTTTCTGATCCAACTTCCTGCTAATGTGCTTGGCAGGCAACAGATGATGGCCCAAGTTCCCCAGGGTTCCTGTAATCCATGTGGGAGACCTGGATGGAGTCCTGGCTCTTGGCTCCAGCCTGACCCAACCCTGGCTGTTTATTACATTTGGGGAGTGAACCAGCAGATGGAAGACTGTTTTTTATCTTTCCTTCTCTGTGTTACTCTGTCTTTCTAATGAATGAATGAATTAATGAATAAATAAATATCTTTTAAAAATCATTAAGATGTTAAATTTAGGGGCCAGTGTTGTACCTGTGATGTCAGCATTCCATATGGGTACCAGTTCATGTCCCAGATGCTCCACTTATAAGCTAGTTCCCTGTTTATAGTCTAGGAAAGTGACAAAGGATGACCCAAAGCCTTGAGGCACCTGTACCTGAGTGGGACATCCAGAAGCTCCTGGCTCCTGGCTTTGGATCAGCCCGGTACTGGTCATTACAACTTTTTGGGGAGTGAAACAGCAGATGGAAGATCTCTCTCTCTCTGTCTCTCCCTTTCTCTCTGTAAATTTCAAAGTAAATAAATAAAAAGGTACCATATTGATAGAGAGAGAATAAAGATAATGGTGATCACGGAGCCATGCGCCAGCACTGTGCCAAGGGCCTTAGCTATCACTTCTAATAACTTAGTCCATCGTTACTGTAACTGATGTTACTTCTCCCCCTCTCAATGGTGGAGAAGATGAATTATCAGGTCATAAAGCCAGTAAGCAGTAGAACTGTGGATCTCATCCCAGGCCCGTTCAATTCTAAATCCACAGTCTTAGAAGGTCATGAGCTCCTGCCTCCTAGGGAAACAACCTGGCTGGTTGAGGGCCACAGATCAGATGGGCATGATCTTGCATGACCTGTGTCATGGCCTGTGACTGGATGGTTTTCTTCTTCACCCTCCCTATGCACAACTCCCATGATCTCAGATCTGAGTGGAATTTGCTGTGGTTGTCCAGAAAACACCATTCTCCCCAGTCCTGGGGTCTGAGCCCCGTTTCTCCCCATCACCTTCCCAGGTTTTGTGTGACTCCTTCTTGCTCCCAACGCTTTCCCCTGGCTTGGTCATAGCAGCAGTGCCAGCACTAAGTGTGTTCTTCCTATTAGGAATGGGTCTTGGCTGTGGGATCCACTGAAAGTGGGCTCCAGCCAGTCTGTGTCTAGGAAGAGGTCACCAGGCTTCTCAGGGATTGCAGCTCCCTGCTCTGCTAGTTCTCTAGGGAATGGTGTTGCTACTGGGACTATACCCATAACTCTCCAGTTGACCTGATTTTAAAGTCTTGCTCGAGCTCTTGAGATCAAAAGAAAATTTCTTCTCAACTGGGAAAAACAAGTGTTCCCTTCCCCTCGATAGACTCATATTAAAAAGGCACACTCAGCTCATACAACAGTTGGAAACGGGTACAACAAGCCCACAAGATCTTCAGTCCAGCTGTTCATATATACAAGCAAAACACAAGGGTATTTCCAAAAGTGAGTGGAAAGATGAGCTCAAAAGATAAAGGGCCTGCCATTTATCCAGCCGTTAGAACACCGGCTTCAATGCCTGCACTGCACATCAAAGTACCCAGCTCCAGTATATTGTCTCTACCTCTGGCTTTTGGCTCCAGCTTCCTGATAATGCAGACCCTGGGAGACAGCAGTTGATGCTCATGAAACTGGGCTCTTGCTACCAAAATGAAAGACCTGGATTCACTTCCCATTCGTGGCTTCGGCCCCAGCCAAGGCCTAGCTGTTTCTAGCAGCTGGGCAGTGAACTATCAGAATAGATCCCTGTATCTCTCTCTGATTCTCTTTATCTGTCTTTCAAATTAAAAATGTGCTTTAAGAAGGAAAGTCTAAGGGCCAGCATGATAGTGTTAAGCTAATTCTCTGCCTGCCAGTGCCAGCATCCTATATGGGATGTCTAGGCTGCTCCACTTCCCCATCCAGTTCTCTATTTATTACATGAGAAGGCAGCAGAGGATGGCTCAAGTCCTTGGAGACCCTGTATCCATGTGGGAGACCTAGAGGAGGCTCCAGGCTTCCAGCTTCAGACTGGCCTAACTCTGACCACTGCAGCCATCTGGGAAGTGAACCAGCAGATGGAAGATGTCTCTATTTTTCCCTCTTTCTCTGTAATTCTGATCTTCCAAGTCAAATAAATAAATCTTTTTTTTTTAAGATAAGTCTAGGGAGTGGCATGACATTGGATTAAGCTGCTGCCTGCGATGTCAGCAACCTATATTATAATATTAGTTTTAGTTTCAGCTGTTCTGCTTCCCATCCAGCTTCCTGCTAATGTGCCTAGGAAGGCAGTAGAAGATGTTCTGAGTACTTTGATGCTGCCACCTACATAGGAAAGCCTGATGCAGTTGTGGCCAATGGGGAGTAAACTAGTTATTGGAAGAGTGCTCTCTCTCTCTCTGATTCTCCCTCTTTGTAACTCTGTCTTTCAAATAAACAAAATAATTTGTTAAAAAAAAAAGTCTGTTTTGGTGCCCCAAATTTTGAAGTTCACGCTTAATATTTTCACACTAGGCATTTTCCACAAACTCCTTGAAGTACCCTTGTTGAAAGCATAGGAGACACTGCTTCAGACATTGAACAGGAGAGCAGCAGAGTTTATGGCAAATGTCTCCTGCAGATGCCCATCCCCCCACCAAGACCCCTAATTATCTTGTGCCTGATCCCGAGTCTTTTAACCTCAAGAATGGCACTAGACTGCTCCAGAAGACTTGAAAAAGAGCTTAGCTCTAGGGGACATCGATTCTCTTCCACTACTAATTTCTATGTCTCTAATGATCCAGATGAAAGACTAATTGAGGTCTTGTTGGGATGCTATTAAAGTTATTTGGTGGTGTTACAATTTCTACTCATCTTTCTTTAAGTTCTTTTTAATTATATGGCGCTTTCAAAGCAAGGCTCGGGCTATGGAGGTATGCATAGGGAGCTGTGAAACCTTCTTGGTTCTCTTCGGTCCTCTTTTCCTTCTTTACAGAGCAAAGCCACCTGTGGGCACTCCACCTTCCTCTCCCAGCATGTCCAATACCTACATGCTTATCTGGAAGGGGATCATTTGCACACAGCTCTTTTCAGTTAGTTCCTTGAGTAAGACTGTTGGGAAATTTGAGCTCAGAAGATCCTTGTTCCATCTACTAGAGACAGGATTGGCCTTCTGTCCTCCAGGGAACACAGCCTGCTGTGTCCAGGAACACAAGAGTGAATGGGGCAGCATTGGGGTACACAGGAAAAGCCTTCCTATGCTATGCTGCCATTCAACACAGGCCCCAGTTCTTGCCCAGCTGTTTCACTTCCCATCCAGCTCCCTGCTAATAGCTTGGGAAAAGCAGCAGAAAAAGATGGCTCAAGTGTTTGGACTGCTGACACCCACATGAGCGACCTGGATGAAAAAGCTCCTAGGCCCACAGTCAGTCACTGCAGTCATATGGGGAGTGAAATAGCGGATGGAAGATCATTCTCCTTTCTGTCCTCTATAATTCCAAATTTTTAAAATAAACAAATCTTTAAAAAAAGTTTCTTGCATAACTTATTGGTTTTATTCTGTTCCTTAGGAGCTAGCTCCTTCTGAACCATTGTAGCCCAATAGCCATTGCTGGAAGTCTCCAGGGCCCTGATCTGTATTTTCAGAGACTTCTCTCGGCCCAAGTTCCAGCTTTTGTCTGATTTGCTGAAAGGTCCAGCAAGTAGAAAAAAACACACAGTTTGATGATTTCCACCTATCTCCAATCCCCCTGCTTTCCGTCCCATTGCCCTTACCTGGCTCCACCTGGCTGAGCGAGCCACGCGTGTCCGTGGAGTCTGCCACATCCCCACTCATCTTGAGGTCTGCAGGGAAAACACAACTGATTTTAACAGCAGGTCACAATTTTCTTGCTATGACATATGTGGCTTTAACTAAACAGCAAAGATGAATGTGTAATTACAACAACCATCAGACTTTCAAATTCCTGATTCCTGAACATACAACTATTAGAATATTCATAAGCCCGGGCATTCATCCCCTCCTCTCCAGCTTGCCTCCTCCCTCGCCTGCCTTCCCCCTTTCTCCAGTCCCCGTGCAGCTCTCACCTTCTGCATCATTCTTTACCACTTCCTCCCACCATCAGGACTGGGTTGGCAACAATTAACCAGGGGAGCGGTACCAGGCAGGGATGGAATGGGGGACCCTTCCTCTGGAATATATTTTACTTTAGTTTTTAAGGAATAGAAGAACTACCCCTCACTTCTCCTCACTCTATGTCCGCTCCTACCTGGAAGAGTAGCCTTAAACCACAGCTGGCTCTCTTCCGTCTTTTGGGGCCTTTGTGGGGGGGCTCAAACCCTGCTCCCCTGGGGCCCTCCCTGGGGAATCTTGTCCTCCCGGGAGTCTTACCTTACCTCCTCTCTGATTTGCTCACGGAGTGAGGGAGAAAGAGACAACACCTACACCAGCCCCCAACCTCGGCCCCCAAGTGCTGCTACCCCAGCCTTTCTGCTTGGCTTCATTTCAGTAAATTAAGCATTTATCCATAACAGTCAAAAGCCATCACCTACGAGGCCCCTAAATCTGCTTCGGGGTCAGCAGAGGAAAGGAAAAACATGCAACTTTTAACTAACTCCTCTCTCTCTCTCTCTTCTCTTCCCCTTGCTAAATCACTCAAAAGCTGAAGCCGTTAAAGACAGAAGAATATTTTATTCAAATCATGCTGACCCCCACCCCCTCTTCTCTGGGGCAGCACTTTAACTCTTTCAAACCAGATAAAGTCGTGGTGAGTCTATTTGCATACTTGGCTCCCCAACCAATCCCAGTCAAGCAGACAGACTTCATTTGCATCAGGTAATCAGGCAGTTGGCAGTCTGGAGGCCCAGGTCTGGAGATGGTCAGGTTGAAGGGTAAAAGGGAGGACCTGGAGTCCAGGAGAAGAGAGGAGGGGGCCTATTTTTAATAAGGATAATGCTGTCTGTGGCTCTGGCAGAGGGTCACACCTCTGTGGTGCAGCCAAGCCAGACACAGGTGGAGATTTCAGAGACCTCAGCACCCCCGTGGGAGGGGGCAAGCCAGCCGTAGCACTCACTGTGGTCTGAGGGATCTTTGGAGCCCCATCAACCGTGCAGCTCTCCTTCTGGGACATCCCCCGTGTGGGGCACGGCCTCCCTACCCAGCAGTTCCGCCAGCACGCCGCCTTCGGGAAGGCACTGCCTGAGCATGACCTCAGACTTTCCTGCTGCACTTGCAGACTTTCTGTATCATCTGCCATGCGTGACTATGCAGAGCAGCCAGAGTAGGCCACCTGGACACCTCCGCAGAGGGCTCTGCCGCCGCTGCCTCTGCTCGGCTGGGGAACCGGGCTGTTCTCCTCCCACCCACGAAAGCGCTGGCCTGGATCGGCAGCTCACCCTTCACCGCAGTGATTCTCCAACAGCCTGCTGAGGGAGAGGCGCAGGTGCAGGAGGTGCGTTCAGCCTTTGAGTGGCTCCAGAATTCAGTGCCTGGGTTTTGGTATCCGACAAATCTCGGGGACTTAGCCCCAGTGACGTCGCTGGAAAGCTACAGCGGCCCTAGCCACATATTCAGACATGGATTTTTCTCATCTTAAAACATGGGGACAGTGATGCACATGCCTGTCAGAGGCTGAATGCCAACTGCCTGGCTGGGTTCCAGGTATAAAGTACCTGGCAAAGGACCTGATTTAACTGCCACTGTGGGGGAGACACTAGGCCCCTCACTCTTTGCCCCTCTTCTCACACCTCTACCTTAACTCCTGCCCCTACAAGTGACTACCCTTGGTTTTGTTTTGGTCTCACTGATTTTTTGGTCTACCTGGGAAGTTGTAGGCATTCTCCAAATTCTGACTTCCCAGGGAAAAGCATTCAGGTAAAAAGGGTATGGGCAGTGGGGCTGGGATGCTGCCCAGACTGAATTAACTGCTTCCAAACACCTGTCATTTCAGCGGGTACTTCTTCAGAGAAACCATCCATCACTTTACACCTGTTAACACCGACACCCCTCCAACATCCACCCTCCTCATCACCTTTAGATAGACCCAGAAACCATATCATTCTTCCTTGAAAGTAGCTGTGACTTTCATCTTGGCCATGTCTCAGAGGAAGTTGAGAAGGAGTCCCCCTCTCTGGCCACCCCTGTGTCCTGCCATGAAAGAGCCACACTGCAACACTCGCAGCACAGTCCCAGTGCAGGGGCAGGGTGAGATGGCCTGTGACACCTCCCTCTCCCCAAGTTCTGGAGAATGCTAAGACACTGAGAACCTGTTCCTATCGGGTAGGAGGCTGGGGCTGATGGGTGGAACGAGCTCTTGGGTCTCAGCCTAAAAATGGGCCAATACCGAAACTGCCCAAGATGAGACGCTGTAACCCTTCCCCCGTGGGACAGTGCTTGCCGGGCCCAGGCTGCACCAGAGCCGTGTGGGGTGTGGCCCGGCTTCTTGGCCTTCTTATCTCTGCAGTGACTGAGTGGGCTTCTTGCCACCACTCCCTTTCCTAGGGAGGCTCATCTGCTCTGGGACAGAACCCAGATACCAGCTGCAGACCCTCCCCTGCCTGTCACGGTCACCCCTGGAAACCTTTGTGAGCAGGGGTCAGTTCCAGGACTTGAAGTCAGACACATCAATGTAAGTTGCAGATACCCTACACAGTGATATAAATACTACACCTCAGCTGTTGGGGATGTTTCCACCAGGAATGCCCAGCAGTCCACCAGTCTTACTTCCAAGCCCTTCAGAGCTCTAGAGCTTCCAGAACAGACTTCTTCCCTTCCTGTAATGGGGCTTTACAACCCCAGAGGTATTCCTGAGCTCAGCCTCTGCCTCCTGACACTTGGGGTAGTGGTGGGGGTGGGGTAGATGGGGAGCCAAACAGATGTCCACTTCTTCTCTCCCCTGTCTCCATCTCCAGCTTGCTGGCTGCCTCATTTGCCATTTGCCCTTTCACCTGCTTTTTGCTGGGGGACAAGGAGCTCCTCTTGGGCTAGGGAACTCCCATGTCTGGTCACGTCCTGCCTTCTCTATCTAGATCTGCAGGCTCCCTCCACACCCCAACCCCTCTGCAAGGGATGCTCTATAAAGCCCAAAGCATCAAGGTTCCAGGCAAACCCAAATCATGGTCTATACCCATGGCCTATTCCCATGTTGTTAGAGTGTGGTGGCTGATCAGGGGCCCTGGTACTGATGGGGTCATTGAAATAGGGGGCATGGGAGCAGCCTGTGGAATAGAGTTTGTGGGCTCCATTTTTCCTCCTTCTTGCCTCCAAGCTGTTCCAGTAAATCAATGTGAGGAGGAGCCCCCAAGGGCCCAGCGTAGGAGACTCACGGGAAAAATGCTGTTTATCAAGAAGCAGAAGAATACAGGATTCATGTGGGGGGAAATAAGACTCAAAGGAGAGCAGGTCTCCACAGAGAGGATCCAGAAGTTAAAGAGGACCCCAGAGCAGGGTCCCTGGTGAAACTGCATAGCAGGAGGAAGGTACCCCCACAGCACCCTCCCCAGCACTACCAGAAAAGGCACAAGACCCCAGCAAAGAGCGCCCCCTCCCAGTGGACAGTCAATATACTCCCCAGAAGGCCACAGAGACCCCATGGAAGTGCCCCAAAAGAGAACCAGCCCCTCAAGGGGAAGCCCCTACAGCCCGAGAAATGGGCTGTGGAGGGGCTGCCAGGACATGCAGAGAGATGAATCAGGACTGCACACCAAGGTAGACAGAGACCCCCATGTTGGGTTTTGCTGTTCCCTCTTTTGTTTCTGGAACCTCTCTGCCCAAGGGAATGGAGGTGGAAAAGGCATCTGGAACTCTGAGAGGCATTGGCTGGGAATTGGCTGTAGTAGGAAGCATGGGCAGTGGGGGGTCCTTGGTGGGGGGGACCTTTCTTAACCTCACTTCTCCTCTAGTCACCTTGGGGACTCTCCTCAGTCTTTGGGCTGCTGGGTCCTAGCTGGCTCGTGTTCTCCTCCCACTTCCCCAGATCCGGAGCCTCCAGGAGACAAGGAGGTGGAAAACCCCAGGAAGTCTCTGATCTTGATCCTTAAAGAACTTCCCACCCATTGCTGGGCTACCCTTCTCTTGCAAGGAAGTAGAGGCAGAAGAGCCTGTGCCCCCCAGCTATGCCCAGCCCTGTGTCTGGGCCTGGAAACAGACTTTTCCAGACACTGGATGACTCCCAGGTGGATGGGCCCTCCAGCCTCGCCCAGCCCTTCCTGGTTCAGCACCTTTCTGCCAGCCAGCCTGCCTCCCTCTCACTCAACTCTGCCGGGAAATAGCACCTGTGAATCTGGGCTCCAGGCCCCGTGTACCCCCACTGCTGCTGCCTGGCAGGATGAGTAGGCCCACAGAAGTCCAAAGCCTGCTCAGTTCAAGGAGATGGGTCAGGAGAACGGCCTCATCTCCCACCCTCACTCTCTACTCTTCCAGAAGGAGAGCAAATAGAAAAACTCCCCTCAATAGCCCTGACTACTGGGTCCTGCCCACTCAGAGAGACAGGGTGCCCCGTTTCCAGCGACCGAGTCTGGCCCAGCTCACTTCAGCTCCAGTTTATTTTTCACTCAGGCCCGCAGACATCAAGAAAGCCCACCTTAACACCACTCTGGCCCAAGCCCAGCCCTTCAGCTCCACAGCTCCACTTCACCCTGCTGCTGGAGGAGGGATCATGGGCCATCCCTTCAGGCCCACCCATCTTCCACCACCCATTCATTCACGGGAAGCTCACTCCCGCTAAATGCATTTCCATCTCCTGGATTCCTGCCCAGGATAAGGGGGACTCAGAAATGTGTCAGAGGATACCCCTTCTTAGATACACAGGAGGAGGTACCCACCATGCACTGAACATACAGCAGTTCCAGGGGCCACAGGACACCCCCCACACCCATACACCAGGAACACCTGTGTAGGTATCTATTCCCCACAAAATGTCACCTCTGGGGTCTGTTCCATCACCTTTCCCAACTCACACGTGGTGACGTGTGACATAGCTGTGACACAAGCAGAGGCTGGCTTGCACAAGTCCCAATCAATACAATGGGTGGCATAGCACCTGCCCCAGGTGTGTGCCTCTTAATAGCTCACTGGGCTCACCTCTCCTAAGGAACCCCTTCAAAACCAAATGCTCATCTAGTCTCTCGTTCACACATGTGCTGGGACACCTAACACATAACATGTGGGTGCAGGAATTTCCCTCACTGACGCACTCCTGGGTCCACACCCCTGGCTGGGTGAGTCTTGAGACGGGAAAAAGTACACCCCCTCCCCACGCAAGGATTGCAGGAGCGCCCCCGCCCCAGTCCCTACCCTCGCTCTTTTCCAAGGTTTCTTGTCCCAGATTCCGAAATCTTTCGTCCCCTTGGACACCTCCCCACACTGGCCCCAGGACAAACCCGCTATCTATACCGTCCCCTCATGGCTGCTGGGAAACAGCTTCCACCCCCACCCCACGTTCCTGTCCCGCGCCCCTTCCCGTGCGCACAGTGCCACCTGTCTGAGCTTACTCCCCTCGCCCCTCACCTGTGTGCATAGGTTCCAGATTCACCATCCTGCCCCAGGCGGGGCCAAAGCCAGCGCCCCCCCAGGTCCCTCGCGTCTGCCCCAGCCGGGCCCCCTGGGAAGCCAGGGTCTCCTCCCTCCAGCCCCCGGCTGCCACCGCCGCGGTCGCCGCCACCGCTTCTGCCGCCGCTGCCGTGGCGCGCTCCGCTGCTCCGGCCCCGGCAGCGCTCGGCGCGGCCAGGATTGCCACACTCCCCAGGTGAGCACGCGGCTCGCGGGGCGGGGGCCGCCGGCCACGCCCCCTGGCAGGGCCCCCGCGCCTGGCCCCGGGCCCATGCAAAGCAGCAATTTGCATGCGGAGAGCCGGGGCCCGGGGGAGGGGGTCGGGGTGCTGCCGGGGCGGGTCCCGACCCCGAGGAACACCTGTCTGCCCGAGCCGAGTCCCGCCGCCTCTCCCCACCACAGTCCTGCCCAGCTGGCCCTTTTGAGGAACCCCTGGCGCGGTGTGGCGCGGGCTGGAGCTGCCGCCTGAACAGACTCCCGCACTTAAGCGCTCCCGTAGTGTAGGTGACAGCTGGAGCGCTGGGCGAACCCGTGGGGTGCAATGGGAATTAGGTCCTGGAATCTTTGCTCCCAGAGGCTCCCCGCTGTGTGACAGGGGACAGGGTTCTTCACCTCCCTGAACCTGGCTTGGCTGTGCAGCCGACCAGGTGCTCAGGCACCACCTGCGGCTATGTGGGGCTGAGCAGGTGGCCAGGCTTCCCACCCCTGTGTGGGAGCCTAGATAGCGCCCAGCTGTGATCTCAGGCTAGGTATCCCCTGGCCTCCGGGCCCCCAGGACACAAGGCTGCCCTGAGGCTTTTGCTCCAGGAGGGGTGGGAAGTTGAGAGCTGGGGGCTCAGCTGATTTCCAGACTGAAAAGAGATTGATTTAAGCTTCTCAGGTTCCCAGTGACAGCCTGGCTGAAACACAGTCTCTGGACTTCCACTCCAGTGCTCTTTGTAGCACTGTCAAACCATCATGGTCCAAGCCTGGCTCACCCCGTCCTCCTCTCCCACCTCCTCTCTGCAGGTCCTGGTTGGTGATGTGAATGGAAACCAAGGGGCCACTGCAAGGAAGCCCGGAAAGCCACGCCAAGACAGCGGAGGGCAGGGCATCCCCACCAACCTGGCTTCATCCTGGTCCCAAATTCTGGTTTCTGCTCTCAGACCAGATTCTGTGCTTTCTCCCTCCACGTCCCGTTCACGATGTTTTTTCCTACCTGCTGTGTCCACCCCACTGTCCATCCCAAGGATTCTTTAGTAACACCCTACTTTGACTGGATATCTCATGGAGTCCTCCTGACAACTTAGACCATTATTAGGTCCATTTTACAGATGAGGAGAATGAGGCTTGGAGCCAGTGTGCCATTGGGGCTGTTGTCCTGAAGTCCTGTGTCCTACTCCCTCTGGAATCAGTTCTTTCACTCAGTTAACAGGACACAACCAACGTTAAAGTCTCCGCTGGGGATTATGTGGCCCTTTGCTTAGCCTCGGTCCTCATTGCTAATTGACGGGCTCCTATGTTCTATTGGTACTCAGCCCTCAGTGCTGGCACACCACAGCTGTAGATTGCGTTGTCCATGGGTGCCTCAATGGCTTAGTGCTTCGGTCCCCACAGAACCCACTCCCCAGTCACCTGCACCTCTCCTTTCCCTACCCTGGGCCAGAAGGCAGGGGTTCTCAAAGGCTGCTCAGTGACCTGGCAAACTCCCCTCCTTCCCTCTTCGCCCTCCTTTCCCTCCCCTTCCCTACTCAGGTTTGGTCCCTTCCCTGAGGCTCATTTCTTAATCTGCAGCTGCACTCCCCTGCCGTCCTGCCAGCAGAATGCCTGCATACCACATATATACCCGCATGTGCCTATGATGTCCATATCATCATTACATGTCATTTGCATGGCCTTGGGCACTGAGGGTCCGCTGCTCTAAACACCGTATTTGGTCACTGACACTGATGTACTTTTTTTTTTCTTCGTCTGGGCTTCAGCTTTCCGGAAGCCAGAGGAGCTTTTTCTCTGCCATCTTCCAGGTGGCCTGGGACTCTGCAGTGGGGGAGGAGGTGGAGGCTGATCTGGGCAGTGGGCACTGCGACATTGATAAGATGCTGGGAGGTCACTGCCTGGCTGCACAATCTGGGGCTGCACACAGCGTGCGTGGGGGCAGTTAGGGAAGTGAGGGGCAGGTGCTACCTTGCTCATTCATTGCATAAGCGTTGCCTTTGTGCAAAGAACTGGGCAAAACACATGCTATTTAATCAATCAACATGACTTTAGATGAATTATTAGCCCCTTTTGCACATTGGAAAACGGAGGTCCATGGAAGTTAACACTACTAGCTCATAGGTGGGAGAGTAGGGAGTAAGACTCAGGTCTGCTGGAACCCTGCCTCTGGTCTCTGAATAGATTCCCTTTGACCCCCCCCACACACATTTTAAAAGTTTATTTATTTGTATTGGAAAGTCAGGTTCAAAGAGAGAGACAGAGCAAAATCTTCCATCCACTGGCTTACTCCCCAAGTGGCAGTAATGGCTAAAGCTGAGCTGATTCAAAGCCAGGAACTAGGAGCTTCTTCCAGGTCTCCCATGCAGGTGCAGGGTTCCAAGGCTTTGGGCCATCCTTGACTGCTTTCCCAGGCCACAAGCAGGGAGCTGGATGGGAAGTGGAACAGCTGGGACCCAACCTTGCAAGGTGAGGAGTTAACCACTGAACTATTGCGCCAGGTCCAGAGTAGATCCGATCCGTTCATGCCAAGAACATATAATCCTCCTGTGTTCCCTAGATGTAGGAAGCTGGGGTGGATCCCCGTGCTTACAGGAACCTGGGGAAGGGTAACTTCCGCTGGATGCTCTCTGGGCTGCACCCCATTCATTGCAGTTAAATAAAGCAGAGTGGGAAAGTGAAGCATCCCTTGCTGGCTCCCTAGTCTCACAGCGGACTTGAAACCAGCTTTCTGAATTCTAGGCAGTAGGACATGGTGGGGAAGGTGCCAACCCCAACCCATGGCCTAATACTGCTATGTCTGTTTAGCTTGTGAGGGGAAAAACTAAGAGAGTGGGGTGGGAGGAGAGAGAGAGAGAAAGAGAGAGAGGAGAGTGCTGCCTGGAGGTTAGAAGGGAACAGAGGAAAAGAAGGGGGAAAGAAACAAGGACAGGATATTTTAGTGCCTTTGGACATCAAAAGAGCTATATGCAAATGAATGCAAATATGATGCAAATGAACTCTCCCTCCTGCCCTCCCTCTCTACCCCCACCCATTCTTCACAGCTAGAGGACTTTTTCAGTCACCAAAGCCTCAAGCCAGGATGCTGGAGTTTGGAACTTGTGACCAATTCTGAGCCCTCCCTAAGTACCTCCCCCATGGCTGTGCCCCGCAGGAAGTCACTAGCTGCTTCTCCTGCTTCCAGGATGGATGGCTTTCTGAGTCTGATCTGCCTACCATGACCTACAGCCGGGTGGGAGTGCTAGGTATCCCCCTCAGTAGAGAAGGAGCACCATCTTGGCTGTATGCCGCCTGCCTCACTTTCATTTCCTGTCATGTCAGCTAGATTGAGTTGTCAGGGCCTGGAGGAAGGCAGAGAGCAAGGAGTCCTGGAAGGCCACCAAGCAACAAGTCCCTTCTAGTCCTTTGCATCTGCCAGATGCGGCTGTGGGGCCAGAGTGTGGGGGTGAGGGTGGGGGTCGCTCCCTGCCTTGGGGCTAGCAAAGGGAGTGGATCCAAATTCAGTTTGAAAAAAAAAATCAGATGGGAGGAAGGTAGAGGCCAGCCAGGAGGGCCTTGCTTGCAGACCTGTTTGGAATGACACCTCTGTGTCAATCTGATGGCACCACTGCCAGAGGCAAGTTGCGAAGATGGGTGGAGGGGGTGAGTGTCAGGATGACAAAGAGAGAGGTGTCCTGGGAATCAGGAGAAAGCAAGTGTGCCTGGGGGTTGGACAGGAGAGGCTGCACAGGTTGAGATCCAGAGCTATCCCTTACCCTGATGCTGCTGATGCTAACCCCTCCTCTTCCTCGTACCCCAGTTCCCAGTCTTCATCTGTGGTGTTGGGAGGGGAACATGCACCCTTGGGTTATCGCCCTTGTGCACTTGAAGCTTCAGAACACTAAAGCATTCAAAAAGAGCTTAATAGCAGCTCTACCTTCCATTCAGTGTTGTTGACTTTGAAACCAGCGCTGGATCTGGCCTGGACCTTTTCCATTTGCAAACAGAACCTGTCCAGGCCAGCTCTTTCTTGGCTCTCCCAGCCCACCCCAGTCCAGGTAACCTCTGAGTCCACCTGCACTTTCAGGGCAAGTCTGGACCCAGGCCGCCCTCTGGTGGTAGGCATCTTGTGACTGCGGCTTTTGTATACTACCTGGACAGGGCCTGGCTATGGCTGAGGGAATTCCAGGTGCTGGCCCCAGGTTTGGGCAAGGAGGAGAGCTTGAATTTTAGTTTAGGGGCTAGATAGAGGCCCAGCGGCCTTAGCACAGAACTGCAGATGGAGTCAACCAGCTTGGTTAAGTTTAATCAATACAGCCGCACTGGACTGTCCATCCTGAGCTGGACAGCTCCGCCCTCCCACCACTGTCCTAAGGAGCTGCTGAGTTGGAAGCCAGCTCAGCACTCATACCAGCCGTCATTCACTCATTCATTCTGTGTGCTGTGGTGTGAGCTCTCACAGGCAAGCAGGGGGTGCTGTGGCATCTGCTCTGGGGTACACCCTGCCCGAGGCTTGGGGAGGGTGTCAGGAAAGGCTCTTCAAGAAAGGAACGTACATCCAAGCTGAGCCACCAGGCCGAGAGGGGTGGCCATGCTGCCAGCAGAGAGATGAACTGAGCGACAACCCAGGAGAGCGCCTGAACCCTTTGGGCAGCCCTGAGCAGCACAGGCAGGGCCTGCGGGGCAGAGAGGCGGGGGTTGGGGGGGTGGGGAACATGCAGGGCCTATGGGGCAGAGAGGGGGAAGCACGCACAGAGAGGGTGATGACATTCTTCAGGGAGGCCTGAGAAGGCCCGAGTCACTGGTTTCGACAACAGCCAGCTTGTGACACACATGGCAGCCGATTGCAGCACACTGCCTGTGGTGCCGAGGCTGGAAACTGCTGGGGA